CCGCGACGACGACAACAGCAAGAAGCCGTTGACCTCATCCTACGACCAGTACATGCCACTCAACTCTACCCGAGCACACATCCTCATGCAAGTAGGAGGGGAGGAGTATATGAAGTGGCTTGAGAAGAGAAAGAGGAACCCCAAGAGGGGTGACCCAACAAAATACTGCACGTTTCGCCGTGACACTGGCCACAACACTGAGGACTGTTATGACCTCCAGGACGAGATCGAGTCCCTCATCCGCCGCGGATATCTGAAGTAGTACGTTGACACCAACCTCATCACCTCTCCCTAGTAGCAATGGTCATAGTTAGCTACTCACCGTCAACAGCTCAGCCTCGGGCTTGTCCGTAGGCCGGTCCATGTAACCACAAGAGCTCAGCCTCGGCCGACCATGTAAACACTTTCTGTATAAAAGCAGGTTTCTCTCACCTCACCTCAAACCCTCAGCGTATATGTTCTCGTCTCGACCAAGCACCCTTCTGCAGCATACAACCTTTGCCAAGGTTACACGCTTGGGTTGGACCTCGGTCCAAGGCACACGACCTTCGGAGGTCATACGCCTAGTCGCTAGGTCCCTCACCTCGGTCGATTGCCTGGCTGTGGTATACAACCTTCACCAAGGTTACACGCTCAGACCAGACGTCGACCCAAGGCATAAGACCCTCTTGGGGCCACACGCCCTCGGGTGATCGATTAGCCGTAGCACACAACCTTCACCAAGGTTACACGCCCAGACAGGACATTGACCCAAGGCATATAGCTCGTTGGAGATCACATGCCTACTCGCCCCTCGTAGCAGGGGACTTATTGGACCTTGGCCGTAGCTGACGAGGTGGCCCTTGATTTTGGCTTCAGCCTCAGAGAGACCCTCTAAGCCAGTGAGTCCTCATCCAGGTTCGAGAGCTGGCATTGACCCTTCGCTTGGCTTAATTCATGGTAAAACAGAAATGCTGAAGGGAACAATACCACCTCGCTAAGACCAAGGCGGTCTGCGGCGCCGGCCGAGCTCTGCGCAACTTCGGCCATGCACAGGTTCATGCGCCTTGTCCTCCATGGGATGGGTAGCTAGGACAGCTATGGCGTGTGCCTCCCTTTCCTTCTCACTAAGGAAGGGGGCCCCATGTTTTCGGTAGTGAAGCTAGGCCTCGGCCTTACCCACCTGGGTGCTTGAGCAGATGGGTTATTGAGCGATCGAACTTTTGCAATTTGCGACCTCTCGGAAGGGGGCACCGACCCCTACACAGAAGAAATGCAATAGTAAAAAGGCACAAGATACCAAAAAATTACATTCCATGCCGGGCAACTCAGAACGGGCCTTAGACCTCGATGACCTGTTTGACGACTTGGCTCGCTGACGACCATCAAAGCTCACATCGCTCCATCGCCTCGGACATCGTCCCCACCTTCGCTGACGCACACCCTCCTCTTCGGTGACCTTGCCCCCTCAGCTTGAGGCACCCTCACCACGGACACTGGCCACACATCACCACCCCGGCTTGGGGTAGATTCACCTCGGGCACAGCCTGCACCTCGGCGGCCCCTCCTCGCTGTCGATATCGCCTCAACTCAGAACATCCTTACCGCAGACGCCTGTTGTACCTCACCTCGAAGCATCATCACCTCGGGCAACCACCCCACCTCAACGGCTTTCTCTGCCCGCCTCTCTACGGGCGCACACCCCTAAGCTCAAGGCAATGCCACCCCAGACGCTTGCAACTTTATGTTTGTTGCCCTCCTCGCACAGAAGTCGAAAGTCAACAACAATACAAACAACCCATAGCAGTTGAGGTACCCTCCTGGCCGAGGCGCCCTCCTGGCCGAGACATCCTCTTGGCCGAGGTACCATCATGGCCTAGGCACCCTCCCGACCGAGGTACCCTCTAAGCTGAGGTACCCTCCTGGCCGAGGTGCCCTTTTGACCTATCCGCTGAATGGGCCCTTGCCAAATGCCTACTCAAGTAGCAAGTCCCTAGCGTTCAGCAACATCCTTACGCAAGCACGAGTTAACCGATGCTTACCAACGGGAAAGCAAGTCGATGTGTTGGGTCGATGACAGGAATCCTCCTACCTAGGCAAGTGAAGTCGAGGCCATCCTATGTCAAAGCTTCCTCTACCATCTAAGGCTCAGCTCGGCTCCCAACCAAGTTGACCCGAACGACCAGCCCTCTATACCTGATACAAGGAAACACCTCCACCATATCGCGTACGGTCACGACTCGATGCCCACCTCGGGCATGGCCTAGACTTTCAATTTCGAGACACGTCACGCACGCGAACAACACTCGGTGTCGGAATTCATCTCGTGTGTGGCCACGACACACCCACTTGTCGTTTACACCTCACACAGTGGTGACAGGCTAGAAGCTGACGCCTAGCCCGCGCACGGATTCATTAGCTCATCTAACGCACACGACTAGGGGGCACGCACACACCATACCTGTAGAAAACACAGTACTGAGCTCTCTGGAGCCGAGGCCAGTGCCTCCATGCTCTTCGGCCCTGTACAAGCTTCTCAAGGAGTGGAATCAGCACAACCGCTAACGGAAGCCCGTCGAAGCTGAGGATGATGTCTACACACTCATAGGCCTAACTACCTCCAACGAGGCCTCAATCGTAGCCGATATCTCAACGCTCCCAAGCCAGACTATCCTTAGCAACTTCGAAATTGGGACCAACACCTCTGCGCCTGAAGACTGCTCTCTCCATCCTAGCTATACCGAGTTCCTCGCCATAGAAGGCCACTCTACGCCCCCCAGTAAGAATGACACTCTTTAGGCAAGCCTTTGGCGCGTCGACATGTGGCCAAGGGCAGAGCCAATCAGCGCGTCTAGTAGGGCGGAGGTCGGCGCCTAGCATGGGACCAATGGCGTGACCCCACATGGCGAGCTCAGATGACCGTCCTGTTTGGGCCGGATCGCATCCTCACCGTTCGCATGTGTCCACCTATAGGCAACCTCAAGTATAAATAGGGCGTGCCACCCCCAAGGTAAGGGGTCTCTCTCTCTGGCCACCCAACTTTCATCTCTTCAAACTCTCTTGTTCTCTAGCATTATGGCGACCTCGTTCGAGCTCCCCGGACCTTGTCCGCCCTCTCCGCTACGCCCCCACTGACTTGACTGTCAGAATCCCCGCCTCGGGTTATCACCTGGGACCTCTGACATTCCCTTTCTCGCAGGTACTTAGCCTCAACCGACCTGAACTGACCTCGGGCAGACTTCACCAACCCTCGTTTATAACCCACTTCGGGTCCCCTTTGGCCCTTAGCCACATCGCACTCCGAGCTCCCCCTGGCCCTCAGCCTCGACATCCCTCGGATCCATCCACTAATCATCTCGTATAGGAAGCAGTATTATCCTCGGCCAATCCAAACATCAACACCCGTGAATATATGCGATGTGGCAAATTTGTGAATATGGAAAAATTTTCCACATATGACAAGATATATACTATATTGATATATAAATATATGAATGTGGTTTAATATATGCCACATAAAAAATTTACGGATATAGCAAATTATATGCTATATGGCAAAATTAGCGATATATGACAAGATATATACCAAGTTTGATGTGCATATATGTGACAAAGTTTATGTCACATGACATTAATTTGTGCCACATGGCACAACTATAGGTCATGTGGCATTTTTATATTTTAAATTTCAACAAAGACAAAGCTGATACGTAGAACTTACCATGTTACATGTGGTAAAGCAACATGAAGTAAGCAAACACTTATTTATACTTTTAAAATCAATAACTTGTTTTAAAAATAATATTTATCAAATTGTAAGAGTATACAATAAAAGCAAAAACACATGCTTCACACTTTCATGTTTCGAAAAACATAAAAACAGAAACTTGTCCAAACATTAATAAATTGCTTATTTTCCATGTCATCCTTATTGGAACAACATTTGATTTTACTCAAAACTTCAGTGTGGGATCCACCCCTAATTTGTCATGTCATGATAAGCCACCGTCGGATATTCGGATTGTTGTTGGAGGGTATGATGGAAATTCAAGGTTTGAAGAGGGGTTATTGCTTCAATTTGTTTTTTTTTTTTTTTTTACGTCTAAATTTGGGTTTTGAATAAAGCATACAAATAACTAGTAACATCTAAGCGATTATATTGTCCACCCAAATACATAAAAAAAGAAATTACATTTACATCAGTTCTCTTTTTTTAATAGATGTTGATGGGTTGAAAAATATTATATATATATGTTATTTAATTAAATAATAATTAAACAAAAAATTAATACATCTCACAAGAAATCCATTAATTTCACAATTTTAATAATAATATTAATAAAGGAGCCGGGGCCCGGGTCCGCCGGGAGCACGGAGCTCCACTATTTCACACATTTTCTCTCCATTGTTAATTGAAACCGGATTCAGTCAGTGTAAGCCCCATCAGATAAACGCGCTTCTATTTATTATGAAAGTGCTATCTTTCACCTAACTTTGAATTAGGATTTGCTCCGAATTTATAGCACGTTCTAGCCGTACATTGGGAATATCTAAAGACGGGAGATTTCGGTCTGTGATTGTGATTGTGAGGAGCAAAAACTTTCGGCCACCTTATTAATTATTATTATTTTTTGGTAAGAGGCCACCTTATTAATTAGGTTTGTTCAAACCCTTATAAATTTGCCATTCGTAATCCTTAATTCAGTATTTGTTGGGCGTTGGAGTATTTAAAGCTCGAGACCGGATCTGCTCTTCCTTCCAATTCCAAACCGTACGGCCTCTTCTATTTCTATCTGTGGCTACAAAAGTGAAAAGCCTCCTCTTCAATCTTCAATTCTTCATCCCAGACAGAGGCAGAGATTGAAAACTCTATTACATTTACACTTTTATCTTCCTCCCAAGTCCGAAGTTCCGAACCGCTCTGCCAGTGGCCCACTGCCTAAGTAACCTCCGTCCCTCCCCCCTTCCCAAACACTCTCTATTTCTTTCTCACTTTGTCTGTGTGGGAAACGAATAGAATGATGACGACAGAATCCAATCAAGACCCAGAAAGCAAACAGCAGCAAGAAATAAAGAAACGTCGGTGGCGCATACTAGCAGTGGCGGTGATCCTCTCCGTACTCACCCTCTTGGTTCTCTGCGTCATCCTGGCCTTCACGGTCTTCAAGCTCAAACACCCCAGGACCCAACTCGTATCGGCTACAGTCGACGGTGTAGCGCCACGTGTGTCATTCCCGGCCCTGAAGATAGAGCTGAACATCACCCTGGACCTGGAGATCCTGGTTGAAAACCCCAACCGCGCCAGCTTCAAACACGGCCCAGGAAAGAGCCTTGTTTTCTACCGTGGCAAGCAGGTGGGAGAGGTTGACCTGGCTCCCGGCCGGATCCCAGCGCGAGGGTCGGAAACGATTCGGGCCCGGTTGACGATAGAGGCGGATGAGTTCGTGTCGGAATTGGGGAATTTGATCAGAGACGTGTCGAGTGGGGAACTGGTAATTGATACAGCCTCAAGGATACCTGGAAGGATTACGTTTTTGGGGTTTATTAAGCGACATGTTGTTGCTGTATCGCAGTGCCAAGTGGCAATTGGTTTTCCTGATTTGAGAGTACGACGGCAGGAGTGTAGAAACAAGACAAAGCTGTAATTGGAATTTGGAAGGATTGATTGATTGTTATACATACTGCAAACATTGAGATTTTAGCAGAGAGAAATACGACGCGCCCCAACGTACAGTTTGTGAGTTTGAGCTGTGAATTTTGATGCAGTCATGTAAATTGCTCTTCACTTTTTCTTTAAGAAACTACTACTAGTATAAAAACACCTGCTATTTTATGTGTTGAAACTTGAAACAAAGTTATGGTAAATTTTTATATATGTCATTGTTTAGCATGTTTACATTATAGATAGATGATATTATAGGATTTAATTACTTGTATATATCTTTGTGGTTTTAGAAATCTATAATTTCAAAACTTACTTATATATGCCTTTTAATTTGGTCCCACTACAAAATCTTCTTCTTCTTCTTCTTCTACTCTCTCTCTCTCTCTCATCTTCTTTATTTTTCTCCTCCTTGTTCATCTTCTTTCATATGGAGAAAAGAAAGAAGAAGAGAAATTAGTTTTGATTACTTTTTACAAGGAACTCATTAAGATAAGAGAGGAAATTATAATTGGTAATGTTAAAAGGAAAGGGCCAAACGCTGAAACAAAACTTTGTTCAGTGCTGTTCAGCGACAAAATGAGAGAGGAGGGAAAAAAGTAGGATGAAGAAAGAAGAAGGGAGGAGAGAGAAAGAGAAAGAGAAAGAGGGAGAAATAGGAAAGAAGGCTGGTGCCTCTGCTCTCGCTTAGTGGTATATGCAACAGTGGACAAGGAAATAGCAGGGAGAGGAAGAAAAAAAAAGAAAAATGGCATGTTTTGAAAATTTAATGAACAGTGAAGGACACATCTGTCATTTAATATTTGAAATTTCCACTAGAGATGAAACTATATAAGGTATATATAAGTAATAAACTGAAGGCAGGTATCGAGTTTACTTTCATACATGACATGAGACTATTTGCTCTTTTATTAGTATTATAGATTCCTTCAATTAACTTAAAAAAACACATTAAAAAATTACCATTTCCTTAATTCTTGACGCCATTTTGTCTAATATATATATATATTGCCAAATCCAAAATTATTGGACCGGAAAATGGGCCATGGCCCATGGGACAAGAACATTAATAGAAATAATTGACCCAACAAAACCTCTGTTATGCATGTTAATTGGTAAACCATCATCTCAGTTCACTGATCCAATTCACTAGAAAAAAGTTGAAAAATTAAGCATCAGGCTGACCACAGCGAAAGAACAACCACACACATTATGGTGTGGTGGGGGAGCAACCAAATTGGAAAATTGACATTCAAATCAGTTGGTTAATGGAATGATTAGCATAGAATTTAGAGAAGAAATTAGGCTATTTTTTGTTCAACGAGATGAAATTTTAAAATGGACAAGAATGAGCAAAAATAGGTAGAATGAGGAAATATTACTATGAACAAAACACTTTTTTTAGATATTTTATAAAAATACTTCCATAAAAATGTTTTTATAAAAGTTCTTTTACAAAAATGCATTTTCAAAAGTAAATATCTACGACAACAGTTTTATAGGAAGTTTTCTCAAAGAATACAAATGAGGAAAATGTGGCACGATTATTTTTGATGCTGCAGGGTATATGTGAATGATTTTTTTCATGTGGCCCATGACAAGAATTTTATAGCTAAACACTCTAAGCTACTGATCAATCAGGATGAGAATGGGGTTAGCTAATACAGTAGTAAGGGAACTAAATGTTGGCCCAGAGTCTAAGAAACCGCTTCATTAATTATTGAGAATACAAGAGAAAAGATGGAACCACAGTTGAAGTATGAATCCGATGGAGAGATAGACCGGACCAAACCGTGCAATACAACGAATCCCACTGAGATAGAGGAGATGTGAGATAAAAGGACTCTGCAGTCGGCTGAGTTGGCTAACAACTGATGGTTTCGCCATGAAGGATTTGAGATTTCCTCCGACAGAGCTGAGCCTGAATAACATTGAAATCTAAACCTTTGACAATAATGTTGTGGCAACACCTTAAATTAGACAAAATGACGTCAAAGTGATGCTATAACAATACAAGCGATGGAAGGTTGGGGTTTAGGGTTTTGGCCCCGGACTGTAACCATGTTGAAGCAAAAGTGAACTCCAACGTGTAAGACTTGTGGATCTCAATGTAAAGAACGGATTAACTGGAATTTGATAGAATCCATATTTCTTATTTTCTCTACCCACGCCCAACCCACAATGTACTTGATCCGCACATCTCATATTGCGAGATAGTTTTGTTGTTTATGCAACCATTCATTTTGTACCACATCAATCATAAACGCAAAAGTAGGGCGGGCAGTCTTGACCCCAACCCCCATTCACCTTGGATTCTACCCATACCCACCCATTCTATTGGTGGGTCAATATAAGTGAAAAATTGTTAGGATGGGTTGGGTCGAGATACTCGTTAGGGTTAGGAGGGGTTGGGTTGATAATTTCACCAAGCCTTACAATAAAAAACATGTTTGAGGAGACTCAAATTCGAGTCCACCTAACGTGTTAACATGCTCCTTCCATTCCAAATCACCAAGCCAAATGAAATTTTGTAATTAAAAATGATATACAAATGATTTTATTAGCTTTTGTGTTTACATGCAATTTAAACAAAAAACAAACATTTATATTTAACAACTCTAACTAAAAATTAAAAAAATAATATTAAAAAAGTATTATTTTATAAACTAATAGAATAAATAATCTATCAAATCTATATTTATATAAAAAGATGATTTTTAATATAAAAAAATTGTACAAATAGAATATTAATAAAAGAATAATTATTTTAATACTTAAAATTTATAAATTTGCACATGATATAAATCCTAAAATTTTTTATATATTTTTATAAATTATTAACTAATATTTTAATTTACATTTATAAGTAATAACAATATATTTATTATTTACAAAAAATAAAAATGTTATAAACAAAAGTGTTGAAGAATATAATATTAAATTGAATCTATCAAATGCACTAATCTACATTTATTTCTGTATATGATATGTATCACAGAAATTTTAACAAAATTGATATGCTCTAAGTTAAGATTATATTTTTATAAATTTTTAATTCATATTTTAATTTGAGTTGATTTTTTGTTAATTTTAAAAAATAAAAATAGCAAAATAAAATAATAACTGATATAATAATTAAAATATAACAGGTTCATATATTTAGTGTATTGGAATCTTGATTGATCTATTATAAATAAAATTATATGATAGCTACACATCCCAGTATACTAATTGTAATATATTTCTTCTTATATATCATTAAAAAGCATTGATGATGGGTTGGTGGGCCAATATGGGTGGATTGGTATTCAACCCTTAACCAACCCAACCCAATCCACCCATTTGTGACCCCTATTCAAAAGAGAAATTTAGGGGATATTTGGTATGGCTTTCTTAACATTTGTATCTAATTTATCTTCAAAATCGAGGAAAAGTAGTTGATAAATGTTTTTTATAGTATTGATTAATAGTTAGACACCATTAGGCACTACATAAGTAGAACAATAAATAAATGCGTCGGTATTGGGGAAAACGTTAAAATGAAGCTTCCTCCAATGATTGGTTTGTATGTAAACCAATAAAAGTATTTATTTGATAAATAGGCTTACCAAATAACATTTTAGGACAAACACTTACATGATGGTGAATTGACACTGTTTATTGAATAAACGAAAATCATACCAAACACCGTTTAGTGATTACAAGTCACATGCCATCCCTAGTCTCCTACCCACAAACTCTTATGACAAGATGTTACCTCCAATGTATTGGGAACATCTCCCTATGAATGATAATGATAAGATGTTATCCCCAACATATGATGGTAGTATCTCGTGGATAGGAGATCCAAACTCACACATATACTCTTTATCGGTGTTTTGGAAACTATACTAGATTGTTGGATCAGCTGAATCGTGACTAGGGCTGCAACTTGGACTGGGTTGGCCCGAACCCAACCCGAAAAAGTTGGGTTGGGTTGATGATCGAGATAGGGTTAGGGTTGAAATTCTTGAACCTGACCTTAGTTCGGGTTGGGTTAGGGTTGACCCCCTGGGCAACCCGACCCCCTATAGTACTAGACTACTAGTCTACTAGTCTACAACTCTATTACATGTGATTTGTTTAGATGCATGATAGTTGTATAGCCCCCTACATACTATCATGCCACAAGTACTTGACCACTTGTATTTTCCTTTTGTCTTGTAATTTTTATGTGTGACCTATCAAATAGATTCAAATTATTTTCTTGATCCTACGAATTGTTATTAGTGATATTATTTTCATAATTTTATGTTTCATTATTGTTGATTTCATGAATTTATATTTTTAAGAAAAATTCTATCATAAGTCATAACTCATGGTAAATAAATACTTATTTTTCTACTAGGTTTTAAGGGATGGGAAGGTTGGGTTAGGCCCAACCCGAGCCTAACCCAACCCGAAGTTGACATCGGGTTGGGTTAGGGTAGAAAGAATTAGTTAGGGTTAGGGTTAGTGTTGAGTAGGTCGGGTTGGATTAGGGTTAGGATTGAGGGTTTAGAACATAGGGTTAAGCTAGGGTTGGCCTCAACCCGACCTAACCCGGCTTGACTTGTAGCCCTAATTGTGATGTGGGGCATCAGGTTTAATTAGAAAATCAATGAATTGGCCCTAGTTTCATGAAACCACCTTGACATTAAATAATTAAAATTTCAAAATGCATATAATAAGAATTGAACCCATGACCTTTTACTTTTATGTATTGTTTAATTACCATTAGAGTTCATTTGTTTACCACGAAAATTGGAATGGTCAATTCCCATAGTCTGTTTGATCAGATAGAATGGAAATGTGAACAATAAAAAAGAATGAGATTTCATTCCCAATGGAAGGGTAATAAATGGCCATTCCCTCAAATGGGGGAATGCCATTCCTACCCGATTCAGCCAAACCAAATAGTTAGAATCAGTATAGCTGATTCCTATTCCAAGTCCAAACCCATAT